TACTTCTACAGTGTAACTAAGGGACAATCATCAGCCACATCCAAGTTAAAAATGAGAGACAAGATTTGCAAATAACTTGAAACAAAAACTTCATACAAAGGTAGAAATCTTAGGCAAAACAAATACTTTTTTTTTAGAGTTGCTCAGCCTTTAGAGTTCCAGCTGATGTCTGTGTTTTTTGCAGGAGGGAAGCATTTGGTTTGTTTGGAAGTCATGTATCTAAGCAGGAACTTCACTACAGATTTCTACATTTGAAGACAGTGGCCAAGATTGAGATGCAACCACTTTGAAAAGGCCTGATTTTTAGAGCAAATATGTAATTCAGTAACAGTTTTAGAAATACAGAAAGTTTACCCACATTTTTCCTCAAAGACTGTAAGTTTTCTTTTCTTCTACCTTTTGCTGGCAGAATCAGATGAAAGTCCAAGCCTGAAATGCCTGGAGCTGTTCTGCCTCACTATGCCACCTTATCATTGCCCTGCATGAAGCAATCCTGGGTTATAACTGCTCAACAGGCACTGCAGGTAGAAGTCCCTCTGATTGCAGTGTGCTGGCTGTTACAAAAGTGCCTCACTTCTTGTAATTATAGTGGCAGCGCATTGTAAACTGAGCATGGCAGTTTTCCATCTAAGCCACAGTTTGCTGCCATATCCATCTGCCATTCATGCTGTGCTTATCCTTCCCTCCTGTTTTCAGTAACCAGATTTTTTTTGTTAGCAGGAAAAAGAGGCACAGGACTCTCTTTGTCTATATTTTTTGACTCAAATTCAGTTGTGAAGAGTTGTTCCTACTAATCCTCCTTAAGTTGGAACATCAAGATTCATTATACAAACATACCGATACATTTTTAAAAATAAGATTAGAAAACTGTCAGTTCTAAAGAACATGGCATTGTAGTCTCATTTGTGTTTATTTTGTTTTCAAACTTATAACTTCTTTAAACCCTTACTTTACTTAATAAAGAACTTCAATGCTGTACATCAGGAAAGCACCTAAAATGTCTCATCATGTTTTTGAGATTCTTCACATGGATTCAAGGAGTAAGGATCATCCTTGGTTTATTCCACTGTGTCACCAGCTACAGAGCTGTCTCTACACTGGGGTGTAGTGCCTTAGAAAAGCAGGTACAGGAGATTACTGCAGATGCACTTAGAATTCAATTTTCCAAATGAAAGAAGACAGTTTTCTTTGAAAGGAATAGCTCCTCCCAGCTAGTTTCCCACATGTAAATGCAATTGTTCAGCTTGTCATCAGTTCTAAAAATGTGGTTGTTAGCTTATGCAAATGGCTAATCTATTTAGGGGGTTTGGGGTTTATTTTTTTTTAATAAACAACCACACACAACAGAAATGTTTCCAACATGACTGACCAGAATAGCCATGGGAAGGTGTCAATTTTCTGTTTCCAGATATGGAAGATACATTCCTAAAGATGGAGACTTATTCATGTTGTCAAGATCAAAGTGCAGCCCCGTGGGCAAGAATCACTTATAGTTTGCAAGCAGACAACAAATCACATCACAGTTTTGTCAAGAGCAGTCTAGAGATTAGTCCTGAAACTGCAGAACTCTAAGCAATTCTTTTTCCTTCTCACTGACAGGTTTCAAGCTCATGCAGTAAGCAACCTCAAAATAATTTTTTTGATTTGGAACATTGTGTCTGCAATTCTCCAAAAATTTGTTATGGAAGATAAATATTCTCAAGAGTTAAATGATTTCTTTGCTGGGCACCAGAACTTCAGCATCAAAGAGTTTACAAGAAAAAATGGGTTTTATCTGAACAGCAGCACATTGCTAGAATGTGATTTTTTTGGAAAGCCATGTTACCCCCAGGTAAATATGCTTGTTTTACTAAAAGAGTAGCATGGAGGGGAAGGGGATATATTCTTACAGTCAAATTGGGACATCTAGCTTTGTCAGCTACTCCCCCTGTGTTCCCTTTACAGTCAAACAATGCAGAAAATAAGTCCTGCTCTAAATTACCTGAGGGCCTCAGTTCTCATACTGACTGCAGAGGCAGCCTGATGGACTCCCTGAGATGTAACAAGGAATTTCAGTTTCAATTGCTCTATGCCCAGTGCCACTTCTTCACAAACAGCAGCCTTTGAAAGCTGTCATACCTCCAGGCTATAACTAACAGCCTTTCCCATCAATGGCCTATGCTGAAGGACAGATTGAATGGACTATTTTGCATGACATGATTCTGTAGTTTTGTTCTTGAGGTCAAGAATATAGACAGCCAAGGTAACTATATGCAGAGTCCATAAGAATTTTAAATATTCACATGAAAGTAGCCCAACTTTGAGAATTTTGGACAACAGCCAAGAATATGATCATCCCATTTTTATGTTGATAAAGCAATTTCTATATAATGTAACAGGTACTGAAAAACCACAGAACCTCATTAAATTATTCTGAGCAGCTCACATGTATTAATGTGAAATTTCTCCTTTGAACTTCATTTTCTATAGAAAGAGGTGAAATATTTTTTAATATTTCCATCAATTACCACTTTTCTGATTGTAATACCGAGGACTGCCTTTGGGGGAAAAAAACATAAAAAAATCCTAACAACCCCAGTAGTCCCTCTCTTGAATTGTAATTCACTAGGGAAACTTTGAGTGTTCTTTCCTTATTTCATTCTTCCCTATTTTCCTTTATTGAAGGATTTTGAACATGTTTTCACTGAATATGGAAACTGCTTTACTTTTAATCACAATGATCTTTCAGCAAGAAGAGTGAGTTTGTCTGGAAGAGGCTTACATTTGCTTTTTGATGTCCAACAGGTACAGCTATCCTAAGGATAATAAATAACAAATCATGTCATAACTTCTAAATTAATGGAGGGGTTTGCTTTTTTGTTTGTATGTTCATTTTGAGTTTGGTTTGGGGTTTTGGTTTAGTTGGTTTTATATAGACTTCCAGAATTTCGTGCACAAAATTCTATATCAAGACTATTTCCAAGTGAGAGGGTATTTTAAAAGAAAGGCCCAAATACAGATTTAAAAAGTCAGAATTATTATTTACTCTGTCCCCAGCTAAGGGGTTCTGAAAGTTGTGAGTGAGCATATAAATGCACAAATCATCTACAACTGAAACATGACATCAGAGCAGTGATTTTATTTTATACAAGCACTTTAGGATAACATCATTTTATATAATGGCCCAGTAGGTAAGGTCATATGATGCCAGTGTCTAAGTAGCACTGAATTTTAGTTGCAGCAGCAGCTGCAAGTGCTCAGTGCCAGGCAAGACCTGGTCTTTGCACTGTAAACAGTTTCTGACATTAGAATTGTCTTTGATCAACAAAAAGCAGAAAACAGGGAATATCACCTTGTGAGATTAGGGAAGAAATCTAAAATATGGACTGATAAATGACTTAGACATTTGCTTTTGTTCTTTAGGAAGTAAGAGTCAGGAGTGAAAGGTTCTGAAGAGAACAGTGGAAAGTCTGCTGAAATGTGACAGTAGTTGCAAGTAAAGGGAATAAATATCCAAGATACGAGTAAATGCTCATCTATGCCTTCTAGCTTTTGAAATTAAGGGATGCCAAAAGGAATAAAAAATTGAAAGTTTATAGTCACTGGAAGGAAACCCATAGAGGTAATTAACAAAGGAAATTCAAGTTAGTTTGCTTCCATACTTTCCTGTTAATTGCCAAAAATATGACTAGAGATACAAGACTTGGTAGCTTAGTACCACATTAAGCATAGCTAAAGCTTCGGATAGTAAGCAAAGGCAAAACTACTTTAAATAATTCTTTTTGTATCAGGACCAATTCACTGATGAACCTGCTCTTGGTTATACTGATGCTGGAATAACTTTTGTTATCCACTCACCCCAAGAGCTTCCACGCTTTGATGGTTTAGGTTTATTAACACCAGTCGGCTCACACGCACAGGTCGCAATTCACCAACTGAAGGTAAGGACTTTGTCCATTATCTGGAAGCAGTGGTCTCTACTGTCTCTAATTCTCTTCCGAACCAATGACAATGTTGGAATATAAAATATTTATCATGCCTAAGTGACTCCTAATAATATTTTCTCCAGACAAAAACAGATTACTGCTGTTTTGGGGAGGATGTCACTGGTCTTCCTAATTTGTCTCTATCAAAGTCAGCCTTTCTTTCCTATCACCTTACAGTCTCACTGACATTTAATGACACAAGGACATCACAGCATTTCCCCAGCAACACATTCAGTTCCCATTAAGGGTGTCTCAGATTCCTAGTGGAATCCAAGTGGAATGGACCACCGTTTTGCACTAGGCTGTCTGATCAGGCCCTACTTTTGCTGTGACAGAGAGGTGATGATTTTTTTTAATCCCAAGAGCACAAACTGTAACTGCCTCCAATTAAATCACAATGTTACTGTTTATGTCTTCAACAGGCTTCCTTCAGCGCTTTAAAATGTGAGAAAACAATATCTAAATTTAAAACAGAGACAAAAAATAATTTCATCTTTTGTTATTATTACCCTACAGTCAATTATCCAAGAATACCCATGGGGAGAGTGCAAGCCTGATATAAAGCTGCAGTACCACAAGATTTATAGTACTAATGGATGTTTGCTGGAATGCAAAGCCCGGTACATACAGGACTGGTGTGGCTGTTTGCCATTCATTCTTCCAGGTATTTCTCAGGAGTATCATCATACCAGACACTGATCATCTTCCTAGGAGACCTCACATTTTATTGAACAGTGAAGGAGATGGAGCACACGTTTGGTGGATTCCTACAGCTGGATTAATTAAAATTCCAAGAAAAGACATCTGGTCAACTCTAGACCTAGCATCTGGGTCATTGTCTATTCTTAGGATACAGTCCAAATAACTGGAAGAAAATATTATGCCTCAGGAGTGTAAGACAAAGTCTATAGTCTTCAATATGACTTCCCAAAGAGCTGGAACTATATCCATAAGAAGTCATATATTTTCACATATAGCCAGAAAAATTATTTTACAGGTGTTTAGCAACCACAGCAGAACTGCTCGCTTGAAGACCGAATCTGAGGTCCTACACATGAACATGGAAATAGCCTGGCACCAGAACTGGGCTCTGCAAAAGCCAAAAGGCTGTGTGGAGCATTCTAATCAACCTCAAATGCAGGGTGTATGCTATAATACTCCTCTCAAGAATACAGGCACCTTAATCACTGCAGACATGTAAAGCAGTAACACTGAGCACACCTTTTCAGCATTAAATGTAATGATAATATTATCATCCCTCCTTAAAGCAAGAGCTAGATCACAAATCTCTGCTGTTGCAGATATTTTGTCAAAACGAGTGGAAAAGAAAGCCACTAGTTCATAAGAAAAGCCACAAGAAAGCCTGCACTTTCTGATTCAATGTATTTTTTAAATATGCTCAAGCAAGGTAGAATGCTTTTACTAAAGTAGACCCATTAATGCATAATTTTTAGCCTGCTTGTTTGAGAACCTTTTGGAAAGGTGGTTGGCAGTCTTCTGAAAAATGTCATGGAAAGGGTTTTGAGAAGGCAATTAAGCCTGGGGCTCCTATACCAAGGGTGAGAGCTGCACACAACAATTAGATAAAGGAGAGCAACACTGTGTGCTAAACTTCTACATAACATTTCCATGTGAGGGAAAAAATCGGGGTGAACCTGAGGACATCTGAAATCTGAAAATTTTGCTATTAGCTCAGGGTACTACCTTACCAGTCCAAAAAACTCTTACATGAAGCTAAAAACTTCTGCAGAAACACATGGGATGTAATCATATATCAAATCTACCTCACTTGTTTTGGGGTTTTTTTTATTTGCACTAGGAAAATCAGAAATTCATGTCTTTAGCAAGCTAACACAAAGAGTGAACCACAAGCTTAAAGGTAGTACTGGCTGGTACATATATTGAAGATGTTTGCTCCAACAGCAGCCTCCTGGCTTGGTCTGTTTTCTCTTTTCCCTGTGTACCCATTCTGGTGTTGGCAACTGCACTGTGCCCAGCTGAATTAATTTCTCAGTTGTGCAATCATTAATGTGAAGTGATGAACAGGCTCTGATGACATTACATTTCAGTTTAGCACAATTAGAGCTAAGGGTTAGATTGTTAATTTAGCTTCCTAAAGCTTGTTATTTATTTTTAGGAAATGGAACAGAATGTGACTTGCTGAAGTTTTACAAATGTGTTTATCCAGCAGTCTGTAAGTAATAACTTTATATTCATGTTTTCTAAGCCAATTCCAAATAGTAGACAATATCTATCAATTAAAACAAAATACTGAAAGTAATCTGAAATGGAGTACATCCCAGTTCATTTACTATTCTGAAAATAGAGACCAGACAGAGCATGATATATACGTCCATTTAAAAAAACAAAACCAATCCAAAACCAAACAAAAAACTCCAAACCAAAATCACAAAAAAAACCCTCCCAAAAATAACACCCCACCCAACAAACAAATAGAAGAATTCCTTTTCAGCAATGAGAAATGGTTTAAAGAGGAAGAACGTTTAATTAATCTGTTTTCAGTTACCAAGCCTCTGGCTATCATTTTCACATCTTTGTAGTATCACCTTTCTAGATTCAATGTTGTATTGTTTGTGCAAGAAGAGTGAACAGCACAGTAATAAAAAGATTCCTAACTGATAAAAATATAAATCACTGGACTTGAAGGTTTTATCTTTTCAAAAGTAAAATCAATTATAAATTTTCAAAGCTCTTCAAATGCAATTCTTTTCCATAAACAAATGATCTGCACATAGTAGATATAATATCTGTAAGTCACTAGAACAGATATTCTGGAAAATACTGAAAATGGTAACCTGACAAGTAACTTCCCATGAACTTGAGAAAGCTTCCTTTTTAATTATTTTGCCTTCTGCTGTGTAACGTGACTCTCTCTTCCAAAAGGAATGAGTGATAACAAGTTGAGGTGGAAGGGGGAACTGTGTAGGGGTTTATTTCTGTTTTGATTAGGTGTGTGCAGCATTCAGGCAAGATCTACTACAGTGAACAATGATCGTTTTTTCCTGTGGCTCTTTTGAAATAGATTTCACTAAGTTCGCTCTCTTATATGACCTTGATCTTCGAAAGCTTGTCCTGTGGTTTATTATTTTACTTAACTGATATGTGATGACTGAATTTCAAAGAAACTACAGAGCAATAAACAAAAATTACCCCAAAGTCCTATCAAGGACTCCCCAGAAGGAACTGGCATCAAAGTACTGTCCATGGTGAACCTGGTTTATAGGTTGTAGGCTGTAGGTGTATGGTCCCCAGGATCCCATTTTAGGGGCTGACTCTCCCTTGACAGTGCTGGAGAGGTAAGACATCTGACAACAAAATCTAAAGTGACAGCACACTGATCCAGTATCTGCAGGACCTACTACCACTTTCATGAGCAGCCAGACCTGCAGAATTTTATTACTTTGTTTTCATATTTGAAGAAACAAAGCTTTCCCTAAGACTCCTAGCTGTCTTGAGCCCAACTATCAAATGGCAGGTAGGGGTTAAGGTAAAGTGAATTTAGCTTACCAAGGTTTTTATATAGTTATCAGATGATAGTAAACTACAACTGGAATTGCTTTGGAAGCCATTTCTGTGCACTGAAATGAGTTGGGCAGACATCAAGGCATCGAGACCAAGGATATACTCCTAACTATGTAATTAGAAAGCTAGCACAGAACATGGAAATGCTTCCGTTGTCCTATTGTTCAACTGAGGATGAGAAATAATAAGCACACAAAGCCCTGATAAAGGCAGAAAGACTTAAAGGTGCTAAATTTCTTTGGAAAATTGAGCAAAATATCCCAACCCTTATTATTGGGCATCAGTTTCCCAAATGACAGTTATAAATACTTATTTGTTTCTTCAAAACTGACAAGTATCTGCTTTTCTCAGGATAATTAACCCATATATTTATCAAAGCCAGTTAAAAGTCATTCAGTAAGTTTTTTCAAAAAATTTTTAAACTCTGTGCTTTTTTAGAAATATTGTATAAATTTTTTCTCCTGAAATTTCAGATGATATAGAGATTAAAGGATTATGTACAGTAGGAACACACAATTCCACTTGCCCTGCCCCATGTGAAGAAACGGATTATCCCACCACTGTCACCTATTCAAGTTTTGGAGGAGAAAAAGCCATAAAATATTTTTCTGAAAAACTGAAGAAAAGCCCAGAATACATCAGGTAATCTTGCTTAACCCCTTGTCTAATAAAGAAATTATAAATTCCTTTTAACTGTTCTAACAGACAATACAATGAAAATATGAACATAAAAGATATTCTTATGTGGGGTATTTATAACATTGTGAGATAATACTTGAGATTTATACATACATATATGTAATATACTTAGATACATCTAATACTGTGGATAAGAAAGATATGATGTACTTGTCAAAGAGCATTTAACACAGTTTCATAGACTGAATTGCCTCTTGCTCACAGCTGTAGATCTCAGCAGTACAAAGTATTAAGGCAGGTGCTACATGAACTCATAGTATGTACAACATCAAAGTATGTTTATAAAAAACTGCAGAAAATTTGGTTAAGGAAATATTTATGAGTTTCATTGTCTCAGTGACTTCAGTTTTCTCACTTTTGAAGCCATCAGTCTCCAAATGCTTGCATATGTTTATACATGATCAGGAACTATACAAATCATAGAATAGTTTGGATTGGACAGGACCTTTAATGGTCAAGTAGTCCAAGCCCCTCCTGCAATGACCAAGGACATCTTCAACTGTATCAGGTTGCTCAAAGCTACATCCAACATGACCTTGAATGTTTCCAGGGATGGGGCATCTACCAACTCTCTGGTCCCCCTGTTCCAATGTTTCACCACCCTCATTGTAAAAAATGTCTTCCTTATACCTAGTCTGAATCTACTCTATTTTAGTTTAAAACCATTACCTCTTGTCTTATATCTACAGGCCCTACTAAAAAGTCTGTTCCCAATGAAGATTATGAAAATTGAACCTGTTGTTATACACAAAGGATATTAATCCTTTGAGGACATTTTATCTTTGTTGATTATTTTATTGTCTGTAAACATCATAAGTAATCCAGTAATTATTCAATTAAGCAAGTGAACATACAGGACATTTCCCTGTTACCGAGCTTTAACCAATAGGAATCCAGCCCATGCATTAATGAGTACATATTCCAAACTATAAAACATAGAGATCTATTTATTTCTGAAGATGCAAGAAGGGAAAAGTTAAATATTTATTGCATAGTTCTGCTAGCAACTCCATGACAATGGTACAAGTCTTATTAACAGAAGCTATGAGAATAAGATTATTTTTACTAATCAGTGCTACCTGAGTTTTAGAATTATCACCCAAAGAGACAGAAATTATTATTTTGTATATAAAGTAATTTATTTTCATTATTATTGTTAATGAGCTCATTATACTGTCAACCCAAGAATCTGTAGCTGTTCACATTTCTGAAGAGTCATAGAATGGTTTGGGTTGGTAGGGACCTTAAAGATCATCTCATTCCAAGCTCCTTGCCATAGGCAGGGATACCACCCACAAGATCAGGTTGCTCAAAGTCCCATCCAATCTGGTGTAGAATAATTCCAGGGACAGGGCATCCACACATTCTCTGGGCACCTTGTTCCTGTGCCTCGTCACCCTCACAGTAAAGATTTTCTTCCTAATACCTAATCTAAACCTATCCTCTTTCAGTTTAAAGCCATTCCTCCCTGTCCTATCCCTACATGTTCTTGTGAAAAATCCCTCTCCAGCTTTCTTGTAGACCCCCTTAATGTGTTGGAAGGCTGGTATAATTTCTCCCTGAAGGCTTCTCTTTCCAAGGCTGAACAGCCCCAACTCTCCACTCTCTCAGCCTGTGTTCATAGGAGAGGTGCTCCTACCCTGTGATCATCTTCATGGCCCTTCTCTGGACTTGCTCCAACTGAGATTTACCTACTCTCCCATTTTTGCAGCAAGCAAGAACATAATTAGGTAAGCAAGGCTATTAGCAGAGGATAAAACTAAACCTCTGAATATAGGACAAGCACTGTTCTGCACAAATATGCCCATTGGAATAAGCACAATTAAATATGCAGTTGCACATAATCAAGAAGGGCAGACTACATTTCCAGGCACTTTATATGCTGTAGGTCACAACGCTTGACATTTCCACCCAAGTTTACCTCAGTGACCCTTAAAAAGTACAAGTTTATCTCACAGTACAGACCTAGAGTTACTTTTTCAATATAGCATGAAGATCTACTCCTCTGTAAGCTCATGTTTTTATTAGGACACTTTGGTTCTTTTCCTTCTCTCATATAACTGGTTTTGGTAACACTCATCTAATTTTTCATTAAAAGACACCATCACTCCCCCTGAACTCAGACCATGCTGGTAGATGTTGGTAAAAATGAACAGCACTCCTGACTGTCTCAAGTAAACTGTATGTATTTGTCATTAGGCAAAATCTTGTGCGTATTGAGATTAAATATCATGATCTGAGCTACAAAATAACACAGCAGCAGAAGGCCTTGACTATATCTGAGTTGCTTGGTAAGTGTATGTTTAATATTCATTTATTGCTGATTAATAATTTATCTAAAACTAATAAAAAACCCCCACCTTACTAGACTAAAAAAAACCAGCCTTTTTTATTCTCTCTCCTCCTGAATCAAAGACTATGTAGGCTTCTGAACAAAAATCAATACTTTTAATATTATAATGGTTGTAATCATGTCTGTCTCATGGCCATTTTTGATACTATCTCCTGTAATTCTATTAAAGAACCTGTGGTAGGGAGAGCAACTGAGAGTAAGAATTAAATTTGGCACTAATTTATGGCTATATCACACACGGGACTGCAAGAATAGTGACATTTATGGGATTTGGAGGGCAAAGGGAGAACATGGGGAGGAGAAACAAGGGAACAGTTAAAAAGGCAGGGGAGTAAGAAATATTTTAAGTATCTGTTTCCCAGTAGGATGTGTTGTATTGTACTTGCTTTATTTACAATTTTCAAAACCACATTAGTTTTCTTCAGTAAACATTCTTAAGAATATTAATTCTGTTTTCTTAAAGTGATGGATTATGTATATTGAATCTATTTAACACTTGAGCCTGGCAGGTTTTGTTTGCTTGCTAGACTAAACTAAATGCTTTGGATGACAAGTGTTTATTTCCTTCTATTACAGCTGATGTAGGTGGCCAGCTTGGATTGTTTTGTGGTGCCAGTATGATTACAATCATAGAACTGCTCGAGTATATTTTTACTAACTTCTGTTGGATGTGCATCTTTCTTCTATTGAAGGCTCCTGAAATGCCTCAGTGGAACAATCCATCCCAGAATCAACCAACACATAAGGAAAAAAAGAGGGGAATACAAGAATGTTAGTGACTTGTAGAAGTCCAGAACTGATTGGTCTTGCAACTTCCTTTTCTTTTTCAGATCCAAAGGAAACAGCAATATTTTGCATTGCTCCCTTCTCTGCACTCCTTATTCACCCTGCTTCTTTTATTGTCTAGAACTATTTAACTGTACTAAATAACTTCAAAAAGAGCACTTTGCAAAGTCTCACTTTCCTTCTCATGTAAAGACAAATGTAATCTTTACCTAAAATTTTATTTTAATAAATTAACTTTTTTTTAAAAGCATAGCAAGTGATGCTGACATACAATACAATTTAGCATTTATGACCCAGTTTTTATCTTCTGTATTTTGAGTGACAAGAAATAATACATATACTATATTATCACACACAAGTTTCTTGACCACCATAAAGGTGGAGAATTGCTATGCTGAAAAAGCAGGTTCCTTATTAATGATGAAGTCTTTTCTAGTAGGTTCCACTGTTACATGTTCCAGTGAAGAACATGGAGGCTTTGCCTAGCAGAATCAGGAATGTCCCTAATAACATAAAAACTACAATCTGTTTTTCTGAAACATCCAAAATATCTCATGAGTTTGTCAGCTACTCATGAGTTTGTCACAGGGCATTTGAGTGGATGGCAAGTGAGCAAACATAGGCCACGTTCATTGTTTAATGTCATAAAAGACAATAATAAAGACTAAAGGCTTCATCTAAGTCTTACGCAAAATCAGTGAGTGTAAGAATTCTGTGGCTCCCATGCTAATTCAGGCTTACTGAATGTTTATTCATTTAAAAGTGTTCAGAAAAGCTTGTCTGATTTTGTACATTTGTGTGGGTCTATAGAGCAGTAGTGGTTTAGTCTTACTTTTTTTAAGAAGATTACGATGAGTAAATAAATTAGTAAGTGTACCTACTAAACAGCCAAGTCCTTAAGGTTAGATATAAAATAATGAAAATAGTACCATTTGGCCATCATTTGCAACAGCTTCCCTTCAACATAAGCCCTAGGATATGCAATTCAAGAAATACAGGAAATATTTTTTGCTTCCTAGAAAGAGATGCCTTGATTTTTGTCCTCTAGTTGCAGGCTCGAGAGACCTTAATGTTAAAGATTTTTTGCTCTTTTTTATTGGTCACTTCACATCTGCTAGGACTTGTTCCCCTCACTACTACCAAGCACACAAACATTTGGCTCAGCAGCCATACAAAAAAGGTCATTGTAACCCCATTGTCCAAGGTGTGTATTGGCCAACACAGAGGAAGAATGGAAAGAATAGAGCAAACATACTGCAGTATTTCTCTAAAGACTTCTCCCAGCCTCAAACTGTGGAATTCTTAAGCCAGAAGAAACTATGGGTTTGGAAGTAGGAATCAGGTATTATCTGACTTCTGGATAAAAAGAAAAGCAGGGAAAAGTTTAAACATAGTAATCTAGCACACTTTGTATTTTAGAGATCAAAGTGGTTTGTAGCTATCAATCATAATGATCTTTTTTGTTTTGTTTGCTTCTGCTAATAAGGGCTAAATAAAAGAAAATTAGTATTGTAAGGACTAAACAAAACTGGTATTGTTTCTGTTCAAAAGTTCAAGTGAAATGAAGCACAGAACATGCTAAAAAGCAGCCAAAAAAAAGAGTTCTCAGACAAGGAAGGTACCTGCATCTTTTCTTAGTTTAACAAGACTAAAATGACTTTTGCTTACTCCACTGACTTTGGACAAGGACAGTGGAAATCACTGCTTGGTTACAGATTCTTCTAACATACGTGGCAGAAGGAGCTCTGAAGAAAGCAGAAAGACTTGTTTTGCCCAAGGTCAAGTGACAGACTCAGATGGGGTTTTTTTCAGCAATGGCTTCTGATAAGATTATATAAAGCAATTGATTCCCCAGCACAGCTAAATATAGCAAGTGTGTTGTGCAGCAGAGCAGAAGTAAGGGTGCTTTTGTATTTTGATGTATGACTTCTCTATTGTAGTAACAGAATTTTAAAAAGTCTTAAGAAAGTGTTTGGCTTTACTGGGTGGGTGGCAATGTCATATCTATAAGGAGAGCAGAAGCGACATATTTTAACAGCTTGACCAGGTCACATCCCAGTTTAGAATTACTCTGCTACTTATTTGTTCACTTTTCCTTTTCACAAGTGAACGTCCATGCTCCAACTAAATATATTGGCAAGCTTTTCCCATGGTAATTGTTTGATTCCAAAATGTTAATCCTAACAATGAAATTAGTGCCATGATTGGGAAAGCCCCCTTGGGCTTCTCCCAAGTTCTTGTCTGATGTGCACAAAGAGATGCAACACAGAATTTTTTGAAAAAAAAAAAATAAATTAAATGCATTCTGCAGAAGTCATTGAACTTTACTTAACACCGTAGAGAATCTCATGCTGTTGCATACATTTTCTGAAGAATGGAGGAAGGCAATTAATTTATGTGGATAATGACCTGTGTTTGGGAGCTCTGGATTTTATGACCACAGAGTATTGTTGCGTTCCCTTATGCATTGTATTCATTTCACACCCTTAGGCAGTAGATCAGAGTGTAAAATAGCTCTTGGTACAAGGAAGACAGTTTTATAAACTATCAGAGAACTTGCCATGAGAGACTGTGGCAGGGAAAGGTTGGAGAAAGTTAAAGACATGCATCATACCTTCTGAAAGTTTCTTTAGCTCATTTCCTTTCTTCTTCTAATTAAGATATTTCACAAGGCTACTATTGCAATGAAAATGTACCTCTAAAGGAGTGTCAAGGAGCATTTTTTTCCAAAGAGCTCAGTAATCAGGCCTGGCACTTACTTTGGTAAAGTAAAATGTACATAGGATTTGGATCAGTCTGTCATGCAGTAAATTAATTCATTGCAGCACCTCACCAGCAGATGCCCCACTTGCCTTAGGCAGCTGTTCACAAGCCTTCTTGTGCATAGAGTTGATTTCTCAGCACCTATTATAGAATTACTCAGGGTAACTGAAGATTATTTCCCTCAGGTTAATGATGTATGAGGAAATGATGAGCTGAGGAAAATATTTCAAAGGAGCTGCTGGCAAACCTGATGTTACTCAGCCCGGACCAAGTGACATCATCTTTGCAGCACAGTGTTTAGATTGATTTCTGAGGTAAACAAACAGAAGTCTACAGCCATCTTCATTCTGCAACAAAATAAACTGATCAAAGCATCTCCTAAGGAGCTTATACAAGCCAGCTGATCCAATGTTACTTAAAAGTCTTGGTTAAGGTAAAATAAGTATTTCCTTAATTCTCACCAATTCTTGAAGCTGAAACTCAACGGTGGGGGGCGGGGAAGGGGGAAGTATTTCCCTATAAATCACTCAAGCTTGAAAGTTGCTAGCTGCACCTAACCCCTAGCCCAAATACACTGTGTGTGAGTCTGGTGCTGGCAAAATCTCAAAAAGCAGTCTTCCTCACCTGAGTAGTATGCCATGGCAGCATGAGACAGCCCCTTAGTTTCTTACAGCTCCTTTACAGCTAAATGGTTAAAGACTTATGGTTGCTCTGTATTTTGGAAAACCAAGCATCATCATGCAATTCTAAAAATTCCCGGACCAAGATAAACCATAATGGTTCACTCATACTGCCTCTCAAAGTATACTGTGTTTCAGAAGTGTATATTGTGCTTATTACACTGTAACTGTATTTGGAGTTAAACACATTTTTGTGTTGACAGCTGATGTGCTTATTAAATTCAGGATACAGGAAATATGTCCAAGCTCATATTACATTAATTACTTAGTGCAATGTTGAAACATGACTGGGTTATAAATGATAAATTCTGTACTGATAGGATACTGCTGTAGATCCAGGGTTAGCATCACATCCTGTTTATGTTGCTTTTGACCATCCTGCACTCTTAACCCTCTTGCACTGTAAAGTCCCTTTATCCATCAGAAGATGCTCACCTCTGCTGACTCCTCACTAGAAGCAGTCATCACAAGAAGGAAAGCTTCTTCACAATAGGAAAACTTCCAAATGGCCCATCCCGCTATGCACACAGCTGATGCCCAAAAAGGGGATCCCTAACTATCTTGTGTCTCAGGACACAGATGCTCAAGGTGGTGTATTTTGGGGGTTTTTTGTTTGGTTTGGTTTTATTTTAATATCTTTTGGGATATGGACTGCCCTTACAAAACCGTAGGAAGGAGAGAGGTCCACACAAGTAGCTATTCTTTCCAGAGTGAAATACTAAAACTTTTCTATCTCTACAGAAGTGCGTCATTTTGCAACAGGAAACCTGGTGAAGTGTGTATCTAGTTTTCCTTGCTAATTGTGGGGGTTTGTTTTCAAAGAAATGACCCTGACCCCTAGAAAACTTAGTAATGCTTCCAGTACACTTCAGGGTCCGTAACAAAAAGAAGGTTTGTAGTCCACATTATAATTGTTAGTATTTCTGCCTACCTGGTGACACTTTCAAAGCCACTCTCAACCTAGCCAGTAATTTTGAATTAAAGAGATGAACACTTAAGTAAACACAGGTTGTGTCCCTTGTGGGTCTCAATCTGAGCAAAGCATTATCTACTTATCCACTACCTATTTAAGACTTGGTAAATAGGTATGCAAGGCAGGATTGATTATTACATACCTGACAATTGCTGATGCATCCTTCACATACTGTGAATCAGCTGAAGTTAAGAATGGAACAGCTACAAGAAGGAATGCCTTCGTGCAACCTGTAAAAAGTGTAGGTTTATCAGGGCTGCACACACGCTATCGAACATGCAAAAACCATTCATCAAAAATCAAAATTTGCTTTTGTGTTATTCAACTCAACCCATATACCTCCCATAACAATCACTCGATTCTTAGTGCAGTTTCCATAACTGACATTCCCAATATCTTCAGTTAAGAATTTTAATTGCCAAGAATTTTTTGGTTGCCCCTTTTCCTGGGGCAACTAACAGGTCTTCGTGTGTAGTAGATGCAAAGAAAACATACTTAGAAGGCCTGTTATGAATCCTGGCTAATAGGACTAGCCCAGGAATATTTGCCTGTTGGTCAGCTGGCCTTCTACATT